ATTTGACATCTTTAAAAAATTGAATGGAAGAGTTTATTTAACATCTGATCTGTGGTCAAATAATAGTTTTGAATATCAATGTATCACTGCACATTTTATTAATAATGATTGGAAATTAAATAAAAGAATTATTTCATTTAAATTAGTTGAACTTCCATACACTGGTCATTTGCTTGGTGTAGAAATAAGAAATATATTATATAAGTGGGCTTTACAAAATAAAATATTTACGATTAGTTTAGATAATGCAGCATATTATAATCAAACTGTAACTCATTTAAAATCAACTTTACAATTACTTGTTGACGGTGATTTATTTTATGTTCGTTGTTGTGCCCATATATTAAATTTGATTATTAAAAAAGTTATGCATGTATACGAGACTTTTGTACTTGTAATAAAAAAATGCAATTGTTACTATTATGTCTTCTAGTAATCGAATTTCGAAATATAAAAAAATTTGTCAACAAGAAAATATACCATATAGAAAATTAATTTCAGATGTAGATAGTAGGTGGAATTCAACATATAATATGTTAAAAATAACTTGTAAACAAAGAAGAACAATAGATTTATTTTCTGCAACAACATCAATAGGAGGAGGACTGACTCCTACAGAACTTAATTGGTGCCAAGTAGCCTTGTGTAAAGATTTTTTAAAAGTTTTCAATACTTCAACAAAATTATTTTCTTATATATATACATTCCTACTTCACCATTGGTTTTACATATGCTAGCAGAATTAATTAAAGTTTTCTAAAATATATGGGTAATGGATATTATGTAACCATTATTACTTCAATGACAGAAAAATTTAATAAATATTTTGATCTTTTGCCTCATCTATTAGGTTTAGCCATAATAATTTATCCTAGGTGTTAAGAAATTGGTTTACAATAATTTTTAAAGCGTCTTTTCGCTGATCAAACATAGTTTGCCTCTATTATGCAAACATGCAATAGATTATTTGAAAAATACAGGGCAACTGCATCTGTAAATTCGCCTACACACACCACACTGGCAATCTCATCTCGAGGCAGGAGATTAAGTATTTTTTTAGCAATAAAAAGTAGAAGAATATCTCAACATACAAGTGTAAATAGTTCTGAACTACAACGTTATTTGGAAAGCCCGTCAATAGATGATTCCAATGATTTTAACATTTTGCAATGGTGGAAATAAAATGAAACTATACGGTCTGTGGTTTCACAGATGGCCCGTGATATACTAACCGTTCCTATTTCTACAGTTGTTTCAGAAACAGCTTTTAGTTCAGGTGGATAGGTGCCAAGCGATTATCGAAGCAGACTTTCACCTCAAATGGTTAAGGCACTGATGATATCCAGAGATCATATACATGCGCTTACAAGAAGGCAAAATTATAGTGAAAATGAGAAAATTTAAAATGATTTGGTTGACATATTTTCGGGCAATGCGACTGAAATGTTTGTCTCCTCCGATGATTGATCAACAATTTATTTTTTACTATTTCATTTCTTTTCCTTTTTTTTTTTTGTATTAGATTACTGAGGTAGAGTATAATGCAAATAATTGGTAGTTTAGTAGGTGCTAACCTAGTTGGGATGTACTTGACCTATAATGATGCAATTGTTCTACCATCATCAATAATCTACACCTATTTTATTTAATAATATCAATTTTTGTAATATTTTATTTCATTTTGAAATAAAAATTATTCATTCAATAAATGTTATATAAATAATTTAATATTGTAATATTGAAAGTTTTATTTTCATAAATATAAAATTATTCATTTCGAAAGAAAAAAAAAATACATAATTACATACTTTTTTAGTTAGAAGTTCATAATTAAAAAAATATAAGTCATTCATAATTAAATTTAAATATCACCATGAAATATAACCCAACAAAATATCTCAGTAATTTTAACTAAAATACTTTACTATAATTTTTTAAAATTTTTTATTCCTAATATAACAAATTAAAAAAAAAAAAGACCCAATTAAACCCGACCTGCGGCCCAAGTCCTAGGCCCTATTATGAGTGGATTTGGGCTTGGGCCTACGCCCCATTTTTTGATCTATGGACTGATCCGGCCTACTAAAAAAGAGAGAGCCGACAAGACTCGCTTATCGAACTAGGCCAGACCAGTATTACATTTTTAGGACGGGTCGCTTGAGCCGACCCGAACTCAATTACGAATGAACCGGACTCAATCATTATTACATTCCTAGGACGCCGGGGGTGGTGCTGTGTGGCGTGGTTCGAGGTCGACCATCGTGCAAAAGTATCCTTAAAAAAGGTACTTTTAATTAAAATATTGGTTAACGACTTGAACAAAACCATTACAAAATTTAATGGACTATTGCTAAAGTCGTTCTGTGGGGACCTTTTAATTACACCACGTTAGCTTTTTAAGGGAGAAATAAATAAATAATAATAATAATAAAGTATCTGTTAATTTTTTTATTTTATCAATTTAAATTTAAATTTTTTTTTTCAAATTAAATTATTAATCTATTTTTATTAAGTAAAATTGACAAAAAATTTTATATTTTAGTCATTAAACTTAATGTAAGTATACATAAAATATTTATAATATCATTTTTAGTTGAGTTTAATAACTAATATATATATATATATATATAATTTTATTCAACAAAAATAAGTAGATAGCTTAAATTAAAAAAAAATCAAATGATTAGGGTTTAAATTAACAAAATTAAAAATTCAGAATTTATTTTACTATAAAGGTTAAATCCTATAATATATATATATATATATATTGTAATTTTGTTTTTTTGTTTTATGTGTAAAGATTTATGCTTAATATACAAGTTATACAATAAATAGGTGTAAAAATAAATTTAAAGATGGTTTTGTAATATTTGATAAATTACACTTATCTCCTCTCAAATTTGGAAAAAAAGAAAGACAATTATTAAAAAAAAATCAATATAAATGAGAGGGTAAATTATATGTAAATTGGGCCGAACTGGGTAATGGGCCATTCTGTGGGCCACAGTAAGAAGGGCTGAGTAAAGGGGCCTTGTAATTAGTCCGATCCAGAGGAGCCTTGCAGATAGCCCGGTCCGAAAGAGCTTGATGGTTAGCTCGGTCACCACAGTCGGTGCGGTGACAGTTAGCTCGGTCAAACTTGAGCCGAGGTATTTTTGGCTTCTACTCAGGACCTTGCTATTGTGTAGCTCGGTCCAAGTACGCTATGGTTAACACGGTCTACAGGTGAAGCTGAGGTACATGTTACACATAAAGCGCCGGGATAAATGTAACATGAGTATTGTTAGCTTGGTTACGTTGTCATTGTGCCGTAGCAATGCTAGCTCGGTTGTTTGGACATGCCACCGAGTTAGGACCATCTCACTTGGTTTAAGCAGTGAGGGGGTGTTGAAAGATAAGCATTATCTTTTAGGAGAGTAATTCCTAAGAGGACTCTGCATGGAGAAATAAGAGTCCTACTAGGATTGTGCCACACGGAACCTATAAAAGCTCACAACATCACCTATGGAGAGGTAACACAACTTTGATTCTCGAATACACAGAGCTTTTGTCTATTTGTCTATTTTGCTGACTTAGGCATCGGAGAGGTATTCGGCACACACCCGCCGACTAGCTCACGTTTGTGTTTTTAGAGAGTAAAGCGACGACGTTTGGAGGAGCGCAGACTTGCTCAACAGTATTATACGAGAAGATTATTTCTTGCTCGTACAATAAATATTGATACAATTATTGATGAAGTTATGGTGTAATAGAAAGGGAGAGACTTCTCTCTTGTTTGGGGCCATAAGTTTAACAAGAATTTCATTTTGACAATTTGAATTATTATTATTTTTTCTATTATGAGCGTAAATGATTAATGAAAAAATTATATTACTTTGATAATTATAACCACAATTTTTGATGATGTTTTGTTTGTAAAAAATGAGTGATAAATATAATTTTAAAAATAGATTATCAATTTATTTATAGATAAATCTGATAAAATCATAAGTTATAATAATTGAATCACTTTGATAGCTTTGAGAATCAAAATGACAAAATTTAAAACTTGAGGAACTAAAATGACAAGAAACACATATTTTATGGACTAAAACAGTTTTTTATCCAAAGATAAAATACTTTTCCCATTGTCAATGTAAGTGGACGTTAGAGATAAGACCAAATTAACTAAAATTGACAATTTTGAGGACTAAAATGACAAAATTGAAACTTGAGAGTTTGAAATGATAAAGAGCGCATTCTTTATGTACTAAAATTGTCTTTTATTCATTTATTTATAGATAAATCTAATAAAATCATAGGTTATAATAATTGAATCACTTTAATTTTTTTCATAAATGATTTGTAAACACAATCGAATAAAATAAACAATTCTAATTATTGAAGTAGTGGCGAGTCTCCTAACTCCCAACAACACCTCCGATCCCTTCATAATAGAAAATTTTCATTACAACCATATAATTAAAATGATGACAATTTATTCCGAACAATGATTTTACATGCACAGAAAGAGATCATAGAATGAATTACCGATCATAAAAACAATCTTCTTATGAATGTTTTATAATCCCTTATATTTTGATTGTAGAATTTTTTCTTTTGAAAAGTGTTACTTTAATTTAAAAATTAGATTAACTTTTTAAAATCAATAATTTTGGTCTATCATAATTTTAAAATAATTTATTTTATTATATCTTCACTAATATCAGTAAATTATCTTTTTTACATTTCATTAAACTTAGAAAATAAATTTATCATTTTCTTTTGTTTTCTTTCTAAAATCTTTAAATAAATATATTTTTTAACTTTTAATAAAAAGACATATAAAAATAATATGACTTAAAAAAAATAACAAGTGTACTTACATTCTACCCCCAAACAAAAGGCAACTCTCCTCACTTATTTCGTAGGCGACAAAAATTCTCCTCACTCATTCCCTAGGCGACAAAAATAACTTTATTAATAAAACTTTTCACTTTTTCTCTGTGGCTACACTTCTCTCTCTCTCTCGTAACCATTTCTACTAATAGTACTAGTCTTTTTCCCCTCTCTCCCCCTCTATCCAAAGAAGTTGAAGAAGAAGATCAGACCAACAACGCAGCATAAGCCAAAGAAGTCTTAGCTTTTCTTTGTAAGTCCACTTTCTTCTCAAATGTTCTCCCATATCTCCTTTTTTATACATGTCAATTGTTTTAAATATGGACTTTTATTAAATTTTTAGTCTTTTAATACTGATAATTAGGTGGCAAACATATAATATGCATATTGGTTAGGGAAAATGTTATATATCTTAAATTTTTTAGTAAATGAGTGATTAAATATTTCACATAAGTGTGAGATTCACAAAATTATAACTCAACACGCATATAAGAAATTTAATCATTATCCTATTGGTTAGTTCACAACACTTAAAAACTCAGCATCCGGCCCTGGAGGAACCAATCTCACCATCTATTATAACACCATATACAGGTGTGTAGATGGGCTTTGCATATTTTGTTCTACTACTTGTTTGAATGGATTGAATGGGTAGACTGTATATGGGCTTTGCATATTTTGTTCTACTACTTGTTTGAATGGATTGAATGGGTAGAGAGGAAATCTCTCTGAAACAGAGCGAAATGTTTTTTGGGGAGGGTGTCTGTCTTGAGGCCATTCTATTCTTCTTCTTCTTTTATTTTTTATTTTTTATTTCTTATTTTTATTTTTGTCCATCATTGATCTCTTTTAAATTATGTCTGAATTATAAATTTAAATAAAAATTTTCAAAAACAAAAAAACTAAGTAAATTAAACAAATATTTAATTTATATTTTTTCATATTCTTTTTTACTTTTATATTTTTGAAGTCATAAGTAGTGACATTGATTTAATGGTAAAATTTTGACCTTATAATCTTGAAATTATGGTTCAAGTTTGGGAATAATCACTTTGTGTATTATGCCAAATGTTAGTTGTGTACTTAATCTTTTTCCTTTGAATAATGCTAGGAACCCTAAATTTTTTACTAAATATTTTACCAAATGTCTCACATAAATTTGAAACCCACATGGTGTGGGTCCTACACTCACGTGAGACATTTGGTAGAATATTTGGTAACATTTGGTAAAGAATAATGCTATATGTATTAATTAATGTACTAACTAATGTACTAACTAGTGTACTAACAAATGAGTGGCATAATTTTAGAGGTTTTGAGTATTTGTAATTCATATAATAAGTGGGGTCAGTAACAATAATATAACACTAGTTAGTACACTAACATGTATACTAATTGGTACATGTAGTACTACTGTTTGGTAAAACATTTAGGGTCTCTACCATTTTCTTTTCTTTTTTTTTTCTTTCCTCTCCTACACACACATTAATATTAGGTATGTACCCAATCTTTCCCTTCTTTTTCCTCTCAAATACACATTAATGTCTACTATTAAGTTTTGTGTGTAGTCAATTTTTTCTATTTTGAATATACATTAATATATACTATTTAAACATTGTTTTTCTTTTTATTTAAAGTCATAATATAACACATTATGGGAGTATCAACTAGTACTCTTTGGTTACTCAGAAATTTGTTGAGAGAATCTCTTCATCTTGGGTTTTGGAGTTTTTCAATAAGGGGATTACACGCCGGTAGAAAAAAGAGAGAAAAATTATTAACACATGGTGGATACAAGTGTGATTTTAGTGGAGTGTAAATAAAAAGTTATGGGAATACAAGTGGTACTTGCACCCCTTCATGTGTTGATTATTTTTTTCTCTAACTCCTACTTGTATATAGTTCTCCCTTTCAATAATAGTGTGACAATGTCACAGCTGCGTCATTAATCATTTTACCTTTTGCTTTCATTTATTTGCAAGATGAATGATCACATATCTGATTTAGACAACAAAAATTATTGAGAGTTCTAATTTTAGAATTCTAGGAGGAGCTCTAATAGTGGAACCAATCATGTGATATGATATTTATGCTTGCTTAAATTTTTTTTTTTCTATGCCACATTATTAGAGCTTTAGTTTTAGAGCTCTTACTCACTACTATTTAGACAATTCATGCTGTTTATTTTTTAAAATTTTTATGTATAAATTATTTATATAAATAACAAATTGATTTGATAATCGTATATATATATATATATATTATCATTTTATCATTTTTATTTTTAAAATAATGGATGAAAAATGTAATTTTAAAATTAGATCATTTATTTTTTAAATATTAAAATAATAAAATTTGGTAGCTAAGATTGTTTATCAATATGATATTTTATATGAATAATTTATATATAGAGATCTAAAAGATGACTGAGTGAATTATAGAATGTGGATTGAAGAGAAATCAATCAATATAATAATAATAATAATAATAAACATTTTTTTTACTAATTTGAGACGCTGGACAAACAAATGTGACTTTCGCAACACTAATGCTTTATTTTGGGAGTGTTTTTAATGAGAATTAGTTGATGGGTTTGGCTTCCCTTCAGTACTGGAAGGTGTTGCTGGACTCGTGGGGGTCCACCACGGTTTTCGTTTTGATAATCTGAACCGTTCAATGTGTAGAACTCGTCGAATACTATACACTTGTAAAAACTCATGTTGATCAAATATCAATAATTTTGTGATCAAATCAGTTTGTATAAAAAAAAATAGATAGTGAAAAAATAAACGGCTGACAGAAATCTGATACGATGAAATAGCTATCAATATCCGATCAATGTGATTTTTTGTAAGCATATAGTACTCGACAAATTTTACATATTGAGCAGTTTGGATTGTCGAAACAGGACCCGTAGTGGACCACCACGAGTCCAACAACACCCTCCAGTCTGTGTGATCAAACTGGAGGGAAGCCGATCCCTTAGTTGATAATGACATTTTTTTAAAATGATTTTATTACTTTTATTTTATTATTTTGATGTGTAAATGGAATTGGATTCCCCACACAAGGAGTCGTTATTCAGTGGTCTTGAGACACGGTTAAGCGGTGTCTTAAAAGTGTTTAGATTGGTGACAAGTAAGGCTGTGGGTAGTGCAATTCAATGTGATTTGACGATAAATTTATAACCAAGCCGTAGATGACAGACTGACAAATTTGCTATCCGTAACCAAATTGCGATTTGGACGGTTTCAATCTATTAGTTGATTGGAGAATAATCTTAAAATAATTATAAAACATTTACATAATCTATAATATTAATTTGTATAATATTTTCATTTATATAACATCAATTTGAAATAAATTTTACATCTCATCTGTCTTATACTTTGATATTAATTGGAGGTAATTAATTATGGTGAAACGGAATGATTTTAAAAATTGATTATAAATTTTAAATCATGAATCAAATCAATTCGTGATTGACAAGCATAATGATATGAATTGGACAAATTTAATTGATTAAGCAAGATTTTATAGTCTTAATGAAAAGGATAGAACCTACAATTTTTGTAATGAGATATAAAAACAATAGATAGACTTTTGGTTTGAGATCACCTATAAGAAGTTTATTTATTTATTTGTTACAAATTTTTACATGATTTTTTTTTTTTACTTTTTTATACATTTAAAAAGAAAAAGTCAATAAGTCAAAAAATAAGCGTAAGTGTTTGGGATGAGTTAAAATAATCTATTTTAGATTAAAATAATCAATAAATTAAAATACCTTATCACATTATTCTCTCTATTTTTAATACGTTTTTCGTAAAAAAATGCCAACTAATTGATTTTTTTTATTTTATTTTTTGTAAAAGTCAATAAGTTAAAAAATAAGCAAATCACAAACCAAGAAATGGTTGGGATAGATAAAATAGCTCATTTCAAACTAAAATAGTTAATAAAATAAAATATTTTATCATATCATTTTTATAAAAACAAAAAGAAAATTACGTTTTTTTCATAAAAATTGCCAACTAAAGTAGCTAGGTTGTGGTTTGGCAAAAAAAAAAAAAAATTCATTCACTTTTTAGAGTACTCGTTTAGTTTAATAGAAATGTTCATTTAAGTTATTTTTTTATTTTTATAAAAGAAAAAATAAAATAATTATAATTTATTTTTAATAATTATAAATTTTAATATATTTTTATTTTTATTAATTTTTTAATATATTTTATTTTTTAATAATTAATTTAATCTCAATCCAAGGTAACCGACGTTGCAGAACGAGAACAGGACAACCTAATAATTATTCGCACATGTGGAGTCGAATGGACCAGGACAGTGACAGTGACCGTGACGAGGGGACGTAACGTAAGCAATCACGTGAAAAACATATACTACAATCAATGAAATTTTTAAGTTACGATTGATAAAATTTTAAAATTATGATTTAATAATATAGTCATATTTTAAATTTGTAAATTTTAAAATTATGATTTAAATGTGAAAAATTTATTTAGTTATAAATTTTAAAAAGAATTTTAAATTGAGTGATGTAATATATGATATTTGATTGATTTAAAAATTTACAACTCATAACAAAATATAATCAAAAAAATTTATTGGAAGCTCATAAAAAAAATTTACTCATTCCGTTCTAAAATATTAGTTCCTTATTCTATTTTTCAATGCTCCAAAATATTAGTTTTTTTCAAAAATCAAGTACAAAAATAATATAAATTTTCTATTTTGCCGTTCTTTTAAATTCATTGACAACATAAAAAATACAATTATGACATTGATATTTTCCAAAAAAATGTAATATCAAAGAGTAAGTTTAGAAAATCAATTTTTCTAAAGTATAATAATTGTACTACCAAAAAAAGTTAGATTCTCCAAAAGAGACCATTATTTTGGAACGGAAGGAGTAAAAAAATTCTCAAAATATTTTTATTTAAAATATAAAAATGACAGGTGCAAAAAAAAAAAAACAAACACAAACACAAACACAAACATTATTCCGATCAACCGACCGAACGTTCGAGAGATTTTAATTTTTTAATAATTGTATGGGTATTGGGTTGGATTTTCATTTTTTTTTTTTTTTTTGTTGTGTTTGTAATCCTCCACAAATTTGCTCATTTTTATGGTATTATTAAATATTTTTAACTCACAAAATGTGTAATATATGCCTATCTAAAAATAAATAAAATTTGTGTTAACACATTGTAATTTTATAAATTTCTTTCGTTGATTAATTGTTGCCGTGTTTTGTTTCCTCCACCACAAAAATAGTGCCATTTTTGTCTTACTCACAATTAATATTAATATTTAGTGATGCTCCATACCGCACTGGGGTGACCTCCAACACCCCCACATACACGTGGAGGCAGCAAGTGAAAAACAAAAAAAAATTATGTACCAATCGAAAAACAGTGAGGGTGACCAGTCTAAGGCATTTTTCTTTAATATTAATGTCCACCTATTTTGCGGACCTCCATTTTACCCAAATAACAATCCAAGTCTTTGATTGGATTTTTTTAATCAAATATTTTATTTTTATAATTAGCTTTCACAAATCACAATTTATCAAACTCAAGATTGACACTGACCTCAGAACCTCACCATCATCAGCAACTGATCCTATGGTGATAAATTTAGGAAAAATTACTTAACATAAGAGTAGAGAAAAAAAAAATTATAAATATATAGGTGGTATAACTGGTTTTATAGTGAGATGCAAATAAAAATTTGTAGAGTTGCAAGTCTCACTTTTACCCTTCTGTATTTGTGTGTTTTTTTTTTTCTTTTGCTAAACTGTTAAGTAATTCCTCCATAACTTTAGGAGAAGTTAGATGTTAGTGATTCTTCCATAAATTAATTATAGATTCATGAAAAATATATAACTTTAATTATTAATAGCTATAAAGTTTACTATTTATTTGAAATTATTTTTACAACATTATATTGAAGAGTAATTTCTTGATAAATGTAAGACTGGCACTCGCGAGTAATGAAGGGGATAAAAGTTTGATAATTTTATTTTATAATGTAAGAATAATTATATTTATTAAATAAGTATGCACTCAAAGTCATACATTATTATTTTTTTTTGGGGGGGTGGAATTGTCTCTAACATCTACTCTTTTTCATTTAAAATGACAATAATAATTTGAAGGATTAAATTAGTCTCATTTATTTGTCCACGTGTCCACCGCTGTAACTCACCGTTGTCCGCCATAAACGACTTTTTCAGGGAGTTGCCAATAGTAGCAATGGATAGCGATGGATAGTAGCATGTGAGAATAGACAAAGAAAAAATAGATTAAAAAAATACAAAGATAAATATATATACACAAAAAAATAATACTCACATCTTAATGAACATACTTAGGGTTGGTTTGGGATGTTCTAAAAAAGTGCACTTTTTGACTTATTGACTTATATGGATTGGGTTTGGATTGGGTTTGATGTGATGTGTTAGAGAGGTGATGTGATTTAAATAAGATGATGTGACTTAAATAGGATAGTGACTTTTTAACTTTTTGTATTATTTAGGTTATGCCAAACTTGACCTTAATGAACACCTTCTCAGTATACACAAAAAAATATTAAATTAGTCTCATTTATTTGTCCACGTGTCCACCGCTGTAACTCACCGTTGTCAGCCATAAATGACTTTTTCAAGGAGTTGCCAATAGTAGCAATGGATAGTAGCATGTGAGAATAGACAAAGAAAAAATAGATTAAAAAAATACAAAGGTAAATATATATACACAAAAAAATAATACTCTCATCTTAATGAACATATTTAATGAACACCTTCTCAGTATACATATAAAAAAATAAAAATCTCAGTACATATCACTTTGTTTTAATAATACCCTCATCTTCAATTTTAAAATCCTAATTTTTCTTCTATCCACCCATCATTTTTCACCGCCGTTGCTGTCACTCTTAGCTCTCCATTGCCACTGCTACCACCACCCTTTATTCATTCCTTTCCATCTTAAACCTCAACAGTTAACCTTGAAGTGAGTGGTTCACGACGAGGAGCTTGTAAAAGTGTATGGTTCATAGTGGAAAGTAATCATAGGTAGAGGAGAAAAGAGACAACTGGAGGGGATGGTGGAGGAGGGATGACGTTGGTAATGGATAATGGTTGTCATGTTTTAGAATTATGATTTGAATAGAAGATGATAGGGTATTATGATATTTAAATTTTAGAACAAAATTATATGAAGAAAAAATTTAAGATAAATTACACTGACATTCCCTAAGGTTTCTTTTTGACACAGATTTCCCTTTTACGTTTGAAAAATTACATTCCCTCCATGAGGTTTGTAATCTCATTACACATTGCTCTATGAATTGCTGATGTCATGCCTTAAAATTTTTTAAATGACCATTTTGTCCTTTTTTATACTATTTCTTTTTCTTATCATCATGATTACATTCTACAACTTTTCATCATTAAATTCTACCTGAACATATTCTTATTGAGTTATGATATACAAACATAAAATTTATATAAAATTTATAAACATAATGATATAGCTTAATAGTGACCTTTCACTTTAAAACAAAATACCGATAAATATTATTTATATTTACAACATCACTATCACAATATTTTTATGATATTTTTTGTATAAATGTTTATATATGAATAGAATTTTTCATTTTTATTTCTACCATCATTTTTCTTTCTCGTCACTTCACTCACATTTATTATGATATTACCACACACCATCATTCACATTTATCACAGTATTACCGAATTAATGAGGTGAAAAATCTAACATTATAATGAGGTGAAAAATCCTAAGTTTAGTATGTTTATATTGGTACCAAAATTTTGCCTCATGTTAACTTTCATCTATGAAATTACCTCATAGATCGACGTCTGATTGTGACTTGGCCATACGTGCCCACGTTTTTGTTACCAATCTGACCGCACCCGTACGAATGTGTTCTCCCATTGACAACACATTCCAGATGACTTCAATTCACTATATAACAGGTGAACGACATCAATTTTCAGTGATGGGTTCATAGTCCATACCCAATCACCATTGACGACTTCAGCCGTACACATTTTTCATGTGTCGACCTGTACTAAAATTATTGTTAAGTACTTCTTTTAAGACCCATTCCTAAAGGTTTTCCTTAACACAACTTATCAATGACTTTTTGCTGATCAAGCAGACAATATCATCTAGTTAGCACGTTGCATATTATGGACTTTACATCTCATGCTAACTATGATATCCGTACCTTGTCAGTTCCTCTATCTTGTTACCTGACCAAACACATGTTTCCATGCCAGATAGAGTCGCAAAACATCGGTTATCTAGGCGTCCCTAGAGTCATCTGACTATGCTCTTATATAAGTAGTTAAACCATCTGGCTAGGTATTTTTCAACCCATATTAGCTACATGTTCTCCGAATTTTTCCAAAGACAACCCTTTGGTCATAGGGTCAGCCACCATCTCTTCTGAGGGTATATAACTGACTTTAATTTCACCTCTCTCCACTATGTCCTGAATATAGTGGTAACTTGCATCAATATGTTTTCCCTTAGAGCTATTTGCTCCACTTTTTATTAATGAGCTGGTGGATTGATTGTCACAAAACATATTGACAAGTCTAGCAGGTATACCTAATTGTAAACTGTCAACAAATCGTTTTATCCAAACCGCATTACTAACGGCTGTGCTGCAAGCTATGTATTCAGCTTCTATAGTATACTTTGCAATACAACTCTGTTTCTTACTTTACCAAGAAATTGCTGTTCCACCAAACAAGAACACATGACCACTAGTAGATTTTCTATCATCTACATCTCCTGCAAAATCTGCGTCAGTGTATCCTTTTATGTCTAAATCACACAAACCAAAACATAATTTCAAATTTTTAGTGCCTTTTAAATATCTGAATATTCTTTTAACTGCTTGCAATGTTCCTTACCTAGATTGGATTGAAACCGACTTATCAATCCGACTGCATGACAGATGTCAGGTCTTGTGCTTGTCATAGCATACATTAGGCTGCCTACTGCCTGGGCATACGGGACATTTCTCATTTCCTTAACGTCAGACTTAGTTTGAGAACACATACTTTTATTAAGACTTTGTCTCTTGTAAACAGGCGTACTTAAAGAATTACAGTTATCCATATTAAATCTTTTAAGCACCTTGTTTAGATATTTCTCTTGATCTAGATATATTAATTTTGAATTTCTATCTATTGGAATTTTAATTCTTAGAACATAGGTTGCAAGACCCATGTCTTTCATTTCAAATCTAGATGCCAAGAAATTTTTGATTTTTATAATCATATCTGGACAATTTCCTGCTAACAATATGTC